TTCCTTCAGGCTTTACTTCTAGTCACACCTCAGGTCTCTGACGCCCCATTTCCCCTGCAGCTAGAAGGGTGGGGGCCCACCATTAGCCCCTGCTTCATGACCTGGGACAAGTGGCTTACCCTCTCTGACCTTCATATTGATGTTGACTTTATCAATATAAGTGGGAATAAAATAGAACCAGCATCTTGGGGCTATGGGGATCAAATGAGCTAATTTAACAAGTCAGTTGCATAAGTAGTGTGGGGCACAGAGCTGGCCCTCAGTCAATGCCAGTTAGTGGTAGTGTCTCGAAATTTGAAGCACTGAGCCACTGCCTGGTGCCTAATACGTTTAGCTCAATATCTGTTAGCAGCGATTATTCAAGAAGCATGTGTTGGAAGTTTCTAGGATTTTCTGGGCCATGGTTCAGAGTTCTGAGCCTCACCACTGGGGGTTCTGGGTCTCTAGGTGGGATACAGGGTGGGCCTGGGCAAAGCCAGCTGGGAGCCATCCCACCTCTACCCATACGCCGGGGGAGAAATTACCCCCTTCTAAGCTGCCATTAAAGACCAGAGACTGTAGAGCTGGAAGCATCTTTAGAAAGGCCCTGTCTGCTCCTTGGCCATTGTACAGAGGTGGAGTGAAGGCCTCATGAAACCTCACTTGCCCACTGCCCACTTGCCCACTGCCGCCAAGCCTGTTGTGGCCCAGGCCCAGGGGCTGCTGGGGGGCGGGGCTGGAGGTCTGTGGGGAAGCAGCAGGGAATCCAGGCCCAGAAGGAATTGCTTCCCAGGGTCCAGAGGATAAGGAGCCTGCTGAGGAAGCTAGCTGTGGGGGCTGGGGGGAAGGGGGTGGCACAGCAGCTGTTCCTGAGTTCTCTAGCCCCTGACGGTTGGGTGCACACAGAAGGCAATCAAGGCAGCCTTGGAAATGCAAATTAAAGCACCTTTGAGGTTCCAGCCCCACAGCTGGTGGGCTAAGCAAAGCAAGGTAAAGTAAATAAAAGTGATAAAACCCAGGGCTGGTGATGCTCTGGGGAAAGGGGCACTTTGCAGGAGCATTGTCATTCCCAGAGAGCAGCCTGGCAGCTCTGAATCAGTGTGCAGTCTGTGGACCAACATGCCTACGGCAGGTTTAAAATCAGCTGCAGGGCAGAAGTCCAGAAAGGGAAACGCTTATACAAAGAAGTGTGCAGCACTACTCTTTAGACTGGGGCTGTTTGCCGTGCAGCAGAGGACCACACAAAAAAGTGCCACTGCTCCAGGCCCAGAATGGTCAGTGTGAGCCCTGGGCCACACCTGGGGCAGGGTGTCTACTGGCGCTGGCCCACGTGTTTAATCCCCAGATTACAGGCTGAGCATAGCATAATTCAGAACGCTTTGCTGGGCCTCACAGAGCACCACTCGGGAAGAACTTGACAGTGTGGCCAGCATGGTCGGGAGCTGGTATGTGGAGCGGGCACGGGGGAGGAGTCTGTGAGAAGATGACGTAGCACTTTGCCAAGTGGACAGATGGTGGAAGGGTGTTCCTGGCAGAGGGGACAGCCTGGGCAAATGCATGGTGGCAGTAAGTGTGTTATACGCACAGAAAGTTGGGAAGGTGAGGCTTGGTGAGAGCTGGAGTGGGGGACTCAGATGGCCAGAGGCCAGCAGGGTGATGGTGGCAGGGGCTTGTGTTCCCCACCCCCTAGCTCTGTGGTCCCGTGCCAGCCCTGTGCTAGGTGCCAGAGCTGGTGCAGGCCTTGGCCCCAACCTTGAAGAGCCTCCAGACAAGGCCTGGCCTCTGATCCGGAGAGGCAGCTGGGAGTGGGCCTGGGAGCGGTGATCTGCAGGCCTCTGGGAGGGGCAGGGCTGGAGCTGGGTCTTCCAGGGCTTCTGGCGTCTCATCCAGTCTTCATCTGCATGCATTGGTTGAGCTGGGACAAGTAGTGATAGGAGGGGGGCAGAGCCAGAGCAAGCCGGGGTGAAGAGTGTGGGTGTGGTCTGCAGACCCAGGCCCTAGCTTGGTAGTTGTGGGACCTCTGAGCCTTAATTTCCTCATCTGTCCAGAGGGCCCATGCCCAGCCCATTCCAGGAAGAGCCGGCACACACCTGCTTTCCTGGGGCGGCTGGCAGGCACAAAAGGCAGCCTTATGCCCCTTTGCATCCTTGACCAGCTGGGGACACAAGACTCTGCTGGCTTGCATTACCAAGGAGGTGGCTAGGGAGGAGAAGTGCCCACCTGCAGCCCTGGCCTTGCTCTGCGACCTCCATCAGTACCCAAGGTGGTGAGCTGGGAGTCCATGAGTCACTGTCACAGTTCTCCTGATGTGTGGTGGTGGTGCCAGGTTCATACTGCGTGCTGTTTTTTGCAGTTTGTTGGCTCCTGACCTCTGGGCCCCGCAGCCCTGTGGGTCTCCAGTACCCTGTGATGGTCAGGGCTGGGCTTGTGCAAGGTTGTGGCATGAGGCTGTCTCAGGATATCCTTGGGCCTCACCGAATAAATTGGCTCCGAATAAATCAGCAGTGAATAAACAGGAATGAAAGCCTTCCCTGTGTCTGCCTTCAGAGGGAGGTTTGAAGGTAGAGCCTGGAAGGGGGTGGGGGGGGACAGTGTTCAAGTTTCCTATTGGACCCTGATAGAATCAGGGCAGGACAGAGGAGGAGGAAGAGGAAAAAGGAGGGCTGTCTAGGCCTCACAAGCCTGGGGGAAGGTGAAGGATAGTGTGGTCTGAGAGGCCCACTGAGGAGGCCCGTGTCTGTGCCTCCTCTCTCCCCAAGTTCAGAGAGTGCTCTAGGAACCAGAAGGGCTTTGAATCTCTGCTGAGAGCCCAGTGTTGGCTGGCTGGCACAGAGCTGAGCTGACCTGAGAATGTGCTACCATTTGGAGACATTTGTCTTAATGTGCAGGACTGCAGCTGTGGTCAGGAAAGGGAGGCGCTTCCTGAGACTTGTACCCGAGGCACCTCCCTGCCATACCTGCCTCTGGGCCTGCTTCCCCCCTTCAGAAACAAAATTCCCATCAAGGGCTTGTGGGGCTCTGACATGAAGATTTCAGTCAGTTCCCGCCTATCCTTCCAGTTCTGGATCCCTGCCTCGCCTCGCCTCGCTGGGGAGGAGCAGCCTTTGCTGCTTTACATACTTGCTCTCCTAGACCCCAGCTGTTCCCCACACCAGGGGGTATAGGCTCAGGGAGGGGAGTGACCTGCCCAGGACCACACCACAAGTCAGGGGAGAGGGTGACCCAGTCCCGTTTGCGGCCCTAGGCTGCCCCCTGGGTGGCTGGGGAGCTGGCTCTCCAGTGTCCACCCCACTCAGCCCTGGCGCCCAGCTTCTGTAGAAATTGGCCTCAGATCTGGCCCCTGGAGAGAGTGAGATGGGGGTGGGGAGGTAGTTCAGGCCCCAAGTTTCTGAGGGTGGTGGGCCCCTCCACGTGCCACCTGGTGCCTAGGGGCCCCCAGCTGGTCTTCTAGCAGCATCTTCACTCAGGTTGCTCCTCTGCCTGAGAGCCTGCTGCTCCTGGTCACCAAGTCTCAATGACAAAAGAACGAAGCCAGAGGTCTACCTCTGGGACACATTGAGGCCTGGATGATGAGGCCTGGGGTTCAGCTGTCAGTCAGGGTTCCTTTAGGTCAAGGCCTTGTCTCTGCCTTAGGTCCCTCGTGAGAGGCCAGAGCAGGGCTTTTTTTTTTTTTTTTTTTTTTGCAGGAGTACTGTCAGCTGCAGGGAGAGGGAGTAGAGGTGCTAGAGAATTTCGTTGTCCTTGGAGCCCCTCCCCAGGCCATGGAAGGGAAGACCTGAGGGTCCTAGCTCCTGGGAAGGGGAGGGAGGGCTGGGAGCCGTAAGGGAGAACTGGCTCCTGGAAAAGGAAGAGAAATTGGGGCCAGAAGGGACCCCAGCCCCCTGCTGTGTCTGCCTGCCTGGGGTTTCAGTGCCCCCCCTCCCCAGAGGTTGGGCCTGGAGCCAGGAAGAGGGGCAGCTGGTCTCCTTGGCTACAAAAGCCACTTGCTGAAAAGCCTGAGCTCGCAGCCAGAGCTGCCAGCCAGGCTCTGTCCATTGGTGTCTCTAACTTTTACTTCATACATAGGGGAGACAGGCCTAGGCACCCTAGGGCTAGCACCCTTGGGCTGAACCCCTGCCTCTGCATTAAATAGTTATCTCACCCTTGTCCAGGGACTGGGTCCCTTCTCAGCCCCCAGAACCTTATGGTGAATAAGCAAGTGGGCTTCCGTCAGTGTTGAGGGGCTGAGACTTCGGGGGGAGGGGCCGACTTCACTGACTCCCACTCCCTATTCCAGACCCCCCTGAGAAGGGACATCTGTGCTGGGAGTCAGGATCCCAGGGTTTGAGGATTACCTGGATGTGTGATGTAGGCGATGGGTTTCCTTTTCCCACGCTGTTGTCAGGGTTTCTCCCCTGGATCCCAAGCCATCAGTCCCTCCTGGAGTGGGGGTTGGCCTCATGCTGGAGTTGCCCCAGGAGGGGGAGGTCCCCATGGCGGCCACCACCAGGCAACCCTTGGCTTTGTTAAACGTTCCTTGGGTACTAAGCGCTGCATCCACGTTATCTTCCTTACTTTTCCCATTCGATGCCCCGGAGATGTGATAGTTCCATTTTCTAGAGGAGTAAACTGAGGCTTAGAGCGATCGAGACTTCTCATGATGTGAGGGAGCCAGTGATCTCCCTGCCCTAGTCCTCCCTGCTCTGACCCACGGCCCTGCACCCACCCCACGCCAGTTCTCACAGGAGGGAACCAAGTGGGCAGGAGCTGGGGGAGCCGTGACCGCCAGTAACCCCAGCGAACGCCGGCGCCGAGCGGGTTAAGCGCTGGCGCCCAAGAGTAACCCCGGCCCCATTCAGCGCCGCCGAGTGAAACCCAAGCTCCTTTGCTGTCGGAGGGCGAGGCCGGGGCGGGGCCAGTAGTGAGGCTGTGGCGTGGCGCTGATTGGCCGTGCGGGCTCACCCCATGCGCGGCCCGTGGCTCGGGGGGCGTGGCCCGGGCAGGGTCGCGGGCTTTATTAAAAGCCTTGGGCGTGCTGACAGGTGGAGTCGGCACCGCGCGCGCCCTGGGTGGTGACGGGGCGGGCAGGGCTAGCCGCCTGGACGCCTCGAGGGGGCGCGGGCTGGGCCGCGGCGCCATGGACTGCACGTTCGAAGGTATTTCTTTGAGGAACCCCCGATCTTTTGTTACAGTCCCCCATCTCCGCTGCGGGCGATACATCATCCCGGTTTCCATGGTGGGGCTAAGGAACTCGGTCTGAGTAGGAAAGAGCTCTGGAGGGGGAGTGTAAGTCGCTGGCTCTCTGGGGAGGCTTGTGGACTACCTCTCCCCCGCCCCCGTCTTGTCAATTCTCTCCTGGTCCAGGGGAAGGGTTTGTGTACAGAGCCGACGCAGGACTGGGGTTTTGGAGGAAGAGGGTGGCTTTTCTCCAAGCTCTGCTCCTTCTTGAGAGGGGGTGGGGTGGGGGGAGCAGGAAGCCCGAGGAAGCAGGGAGAAAGGGAGTCTGTTGTCCTTCTGTGTGTCTGGAGTCCGGCCTGTTTGGTGGCCCTCCTTTTGGTGTCTCGAACCCACTGGTTCACAGTTCTGGATTCAGTCAGTTTTTCTTTCAGGGCTTCAGTTTCCCCATTTTCACAGGGGCTTGTGTGAACCGGGTGGGAGATTCTGCAGTTTGAAGCACTTTTGACCTGTATAATCCTGGAGGACTGTGAGGGTTTTTACGTGAGGAACCCAGAGAAGCTGAGCCTGATACCCCTTTGAGCTCCACTGAAGCTTTAGGGACCCCTCCTGCTGGGACGCCTGTCAGAGGGAGGGGGTCTGGCAACACCGAGCACCCACTCTGAGCAGCTGCCCTTGGGGCAAAGCAGCTGCCCAGAAGGGTCTGATCTCTGTTTTACAGATGAGGAAACGGAGGCCCACTGAAGAGAAGAGGTTGTTGGCCTTGGCCCCACCTCGAGTCTGGGGTGGGCAGGGGGCTGGGAGGGGCTCCTGGCTTGTGCTCATGGGCCCTGCAGAGAGAGCCCTTTGACCTAGTGACCCAGTGGGTGGGTGTCCTGAGCTGGTCAGAGGGACGTGGGCTGAGCTTTGCCAGGCTGCTGGCTGCCAGCTGGGAGAGAGGGCTGTGGCCAGGCTGGGGTGGAGGGGGAGGGGTCCCAGGCTGTACCAGGAGGAAGGAAGGACAGAGTGCACTCCCTTTGATGGAGGGGAGACCAAAGCCCCAAATAGCCAAGCCTGGTCCCACAGGGACTGGGTTTGTGCCCGGAACACACAGAGACACTCTGGTTGGCTGCGTGACCAGCAGCTGGCTTGGCCCTGAGCCTCTGTCTGTGCCACTGAGGAATGGGTTGGTGAGGGCAGCTTTGCTCCTGGCTTCCTGCGGGGTGGGGAGGGGAGGTACAGAGACAAAAGGCTGGGCATTTTGTAGACTGGGCTGAATCCCCTGTGGGTTCTGGCTCCTTGTAGCCAGCAGCTGGGGCATCTGGTCATGTGTGTCTGTAAGTCACTTTCTGCGGCTCAGTTTTCTCATCGTAGAGGGGCCAATGGTCACACCGCCTTCCTAGAGCCTCGTGTCAGGAGGATGATGGCCCAGCCCGGGCCTCCATTTCTAAATTCCATCTGTAAAATGGGCTGAGTCATGCCTCATCCATCGAGTGAGTTCTTGCCTTTGCCAGACTCATCATGCAGGAAGGCAGGAGGTGTCCTAGCTCTGAGGTGGGATCCTCTTGGGGGACTGCCCTGCCATTCCTCTTTGGGGACCCCATGCTGCCCTGGGAGGAATGGGGCACAGGACCCATAGTGGGGCTAGTCATGGAGGATCCCACCACCTCTCAGGGCCTTTAGCTAGTCTGCTTTTTGCTGGGCCTCTCTCTAACCTCTGTAAACTGTAGAGGGGCTTGCCCACTGCTCAGCAATTTATCAGTTCCCCTCTCAAATTTTGTGCCCAGAGGACCCTGCTGGACAGCCTTGAAGGAAAAGGTCAGGAGTGGCCAGCGGTGGGGTGCCAGCCTGTCACCCGTCTGAAGAGCCTCTGTCTCTTCCCACCTACTCTAGGTGGCCACTCTTCCCCTACCTTGGGCTGAGAGTAGAAGCTGCCTGGCCCGGGGCTCTCCCGGCCAACAGCCCTTGTCTGCACCCCTGCCCCCACCGAGGATTAGATGTGCTGGATCTGTGAGGCCTGCCCCCATTTCACAGATTGAGAAACTAAGTAGGGCCAGGGCAATGCTGTACCTGGGCCTCTGGACTCCCTTTGTCCTGGACTGAGTGGGTATGCTTCTTCACAGAGCTGGTCCTGGGGTGGAGGTGGTAATGGAGTATGGAGCGGCAAGGGAGGCAGGCTGGAAGGACTTGTCACCTCCTGAGCAAGCGCTTAGAGGCTGGATTGGAGCCCTCAGTGCGAGGCCTCTGTGAGTGTGTGTGTATGTGTAAGGGCCCAGGGATGGATGTTCTCTAGAAGGTATGCTCCCTGAGGGCAGGAGTAAAAATTCACCACTGTCTACATCAAGATATACAACATCTCCAGCTTCCCAGAAAGTTCCCTGGTTCTGGGTAGGGTATTTTTCCTGTCCTGTTCATGGTCAGGAACAGTACCTGGAACAGTGCCTGGAACAGCGTGTGGGCACTCAGTGGATGATGCTGGTTGAGTGAATGAGTGTGTGTGTGTGCTGTGGATGGAGGGTGTTAGCAGATGCCCAGACAAATACAGGGGTGTTAAGAGCTCAGACTCTGAAGCTGGCAGTGCCCCAGCTCCGCCCCACCGTAGCTGCAGGGCAGGTTAATGAGCCTTATGGATCCATGGTCCCAGCAAGGCACTGGCCTCCTCAAGTTGTTCCAAGGGCTTTTAGATGCACCTGGGGCACCAGGCCTCACTTGGGTGCCCAAGAAATGACTGTGGTCTGGGAGCATGGGCTTGTTTGTGAGGGTGGGCTTGTGTCCTGTGGCTATGCCCACAAATGTGGGCTGCATGGACAAGGGCATGGACACTGTATGGACACTTGCGTGTGCAAGTGTGTGACGATTGTCTGGGGCCAGCCCTCCCATTGCTGGTTCACACACATTTTCTCCTTCCCCAGACATGCTTCAGCTCATCAACAACCAGGAGAGCGACTTCCCAGGCCTGTTTGACCCCCCCTATGCCGGGGGCGGGGCAGGGGGCACAGAGCCGGCCAGCCCTGATGCCAGCTCCCCAGGCAGCTTGTCCCCACCTCCTGCCATGCTGGACTCCCCCCTTGAAGGCCTCCTGGGGGGCTCCAAGGCAGCAGCGCCCCTGCTGCTGTCTCCTCCCCAGACTACACCTACCCCATTAAAGATGTACCCATCTGTGCCCGCCTTCTCCCGTGGGCCTGGTATCAAGGAGGAGCCTGTGCCACTGAGCATCCTGCAGCCCCCTGCCCCACAGCCCCTGCCGAGAGCCCTGCTGGCTCAGAGCTTCCCAGGCCCGGCGCCGTCCACACCCCTGTGCAGCTCGGCCCCTATGCTGGGCTACTCCAGCCTGGCTGCAGGCTTCTCTACAGGTAAAAGGGGGTGGCAGGAGCACGGGGATGGACTGCCAGGGGCCTAGGAAGGAGGGCAGGGTCTGCTGGGGCCTGGAAGAGGGATTTGCAGGCTTTAGGAATTGAGTCTCCACTCTGCTGCTTGAGTGGACTGTCATGAGCAGTACTGTGGTACAGTTACTGTTGGATTAAGTATTGGCTCCCACTCTGCCAGGGGTGTCCCCATCAGTGCTGCCCTTCAAAATGCAAATGTCTGGCTGGACAGCTGGCCCATGTGCACCAGAGCTCCACTGTGCAGATGGGGAAACTGAGGTCCCAGGGAGACTCACTCGATGATAGGGACCTGAAGGGTGGGCTTAAGGTGGATTCAGACAGCCTATGCCTTTAGCCCCACCCTTCTCTCTGCAGGCACCCCTCCAGCAAGCGCTCAGCAGCTGCTGACTGGCCAGCCACAGGTTTCCCTGCCAGGGGCTCCCCCTGGCTCCTTGCACACCCAGGTCCAGAGTGCAGCCCCCCAGCAGCTGCTGGCAGCCACAGCCACACCCCCAGTGGTCCCTGGAACGACCACTGTGGCCTCGCAGATCCAGCAGGTCCCAGTGAGTAGATCTGGCCTGGGGTCAGGAGGGGAGGCTGCCCAGGCCCAGATGCGTGCCTCAAGCCCTGCCTCCCACCCCCAGGTCCTGCTTCAGCCCCACTTCATCAAGGCCGATTCACTGCTTCTGACGGCCATGAAGACAGATGTGGGAGCCACCATGAAGACGACAGGGATTGCCTCGCTGGCTTCTGGTGCTGCTGTGCAGACAGGGCCGTTGCAGGTGGGTGGCATGCACGGGGCAGAGAGGTGTGGGGCCTGCACACACACACATCACCTGCTAACTTGTGCTGGTGCCTGCAGACCCTGGTGAGTGGTGGAACCATCCTGGCCACAGTGCCACTGGTGGTGGACACGGATAAGCTGCCCATCAACCGGCTGGCAGCCAGCGGGAAGGCCCCTGGGGTGTCCCAGAGCCGTGGTGAGAAGCGCACGGCCCACAACGCCATCGAGAAGCGCTATCGCTCTTCCATCAACGACAAGATCGTAGAGCTCAAGGACCTGGTAGTGGGCACTGAGGCGAAGGTGCGGGCGAGGGCCTGGCCAGGGTATGGCTGGGTGACCAGGGTGGGTGGGGTATCGGGGTCCAGAGGAAGAGAGGATTGGGGCTGCACCCTAGACTGATGGAACTTGACAGGTAAACATGATGGAGGGTCTTCTGTTTGCCAGGGGCTGCTCTAGGATGTGGGGATGCAGCAGTGAGAAAGACAGACACAGATCCTGCCTTCAGGGATCTGTGGTCCCAGCGGGGCAGACGGACGGTGAGCAGGACCAATAAGTCAGTGTGAGAGGACACCAGAGGGGGCTGAGTGCTGCAGAGGAAAATAGAGCATGGAACGGGATATGAGAGTTGGCAGGTCTAAATTGGAGTTGGGGGAGGAGTCAGGGAAGGCCTCCCTAAGGTAATGTATATGCAGAAACGTGGAGAAGGCAAGGGAGTGGGGATAAAGAAATTAGTAATAGTAACGGCAGCTAGCCAAGCACTGTTCTATGCATCTTACATGTTACCCCTTCTGCCGTCCTGGGAGGTAGGTATGACTAGGGGAGAGGCAGTCCATGTAGAGAGAACAGCAAAGGCCCTGAGGCAGCTGTGTTGCAAAGCAGTCCTGCCCTCCTGCGCTCTCTCCCTCCCACCCCTTGCAGCTGAATAAATCGGCTGTCTTGCGCAAGGCCATCGACTACATCCGCTTCCTGCAACATAGCAACCAGAAACTCAAGCAGGAGAATCTGAGTCTGCGGACTGCTGCCCACAAGAGCAGTGAGTCTTGGCCTTGCTCTCAGCCCAGGCCCCGCTACCAGTCCTGGCTCCACCCCTGGCCCTGCCCTTGGCCTCAGGCCCTGCCTCTAACCCAGACTCCTGGCCCTGTCTTGGCCCTGCCCCTGGCTAGGCCTGGCCTCTTGCTCTGGTCCCTTGGCCCCACCTTTAGCTCTGGCTCTTCCGCTGGCACTAATATGGCCTCTGCCCCAGCTTCCAGGGCCTCAGGAGCTATGCCAGCTCCCAGCCCTCACTACCCAGGGCCCTGAACTGATTTGGGTGGGTTGGGATATTTGGCCTTCACCCCCAGCCCTGCTCTTTGCTGGACTACAGAGTCTCTGAAGGATCTGGTGTCCACCTGTGGCAGTGGGGGAAGCACAGACGTGCCCATGGAGGGCGTGAAGCCGGAGGTGGTGGACGCACTGACTCCCCCCACCTCGGACGCTGGCTCACCCTCCCAGAGCAGCCCTCTGTCCCTTGGTAGCAGGGGCAGTGGTGGTGGCAGTGGCAGTGATTCGGAGCCAGACAGCCTGGTCTTGGAAGACAGCCAGGTTGGGCCTTGTGGCATTGTCCCCTCCCCTCCCCTCCCCGACTGAGCCCCTCTGAGCCCCAGTGCATGGTCATGGGGAGACCCTGACAAGATCTTGTCCCACCTCCTACTTCATAGACAGAAATTTGAGGCCTGGAGCCAGGCAAGGCCCTGATCCCCCTCCCCAGCCCCAAGCTCTCGGGGTCATTCTTACTCTGCCCTCACTACCCTGCCCACCTCACCTACCAGGGGAAGCCTGCGCCGCCGCCTCCACGCAGCCGGGGCTTGCTGGACCGCTCCCGACTAGCCCTGTGCGCTCTCGTCTTTCTCTGTCTGTCCTGCAACCCCCTGGCCTTCTTGCTGGGTGGGTGGGGCCTCCCTGGCCCCCCAGGCCCCCCAGACGCCACCAGTGTCTACCATGGTCCTGGGCGCAACGTGCTGGCCACCGAGGGCAGAGGTAAGAGCAGGCTAGCCTGGGCATCTTTGGGACAGAGGTGGACAGGGGCACTCTTGGGGTTAGACCCCAAGCCTGCAGGCTTGGGGCTCTGCATTTCCCTGGGAGCTGTGCCTGTAGCTCTGCCTTCCGCCCCTAGATGGTCCTGGCTGTGCCCAGTGGCTGCTGCTCCCACTCATCTGGCTGATTAATGGGCTGCTGGTACTAGGCTCCTTAGCGCTCCTTTTTGTCTATGGAGAGCCAGTCACACGGCCGCACTCGGGCCCCGCTGTGCACTTCTGGAGGCATCGCAAGCAGGCCGACCTGGACCTGGCCCGGGTGAGGGCTGGCCCTGGGACAGTAAGCAGGGAGGGGCCTGGGCGGCACCAGGCCCCCAGCTCTGGGAAGAGGGGGTCACTCTGTCCTCTGCCCTCTGTGCACACCAGCTGTCTGCCCTGTTCTCCCCACTCTTGTCTACCCCTCAGACCCCCTGGGGCCCAACTACCTAGCCTAGTGCTGCTGGGTGGCCTGGGCCAAGCCGAGCATGCCCAGTTTGGTGACGGGGAGCCCAAGCCAAGGGAACTGCAGAGATAGTGGAGCTGTGTCCTTGGGTGTTCTATCTCCACCCTCTCACCCAGCAAACTCATATCCCCAGGGAGACTTTGCCCAGGCTGCCCAGCAGCTGTGGCTAGCCCTTCAGGCACTGGGCCGGCCCCTACCTACCTCCCACCTGGACCTGGCATGTAGTCTGCTCTGGAACCTCATCCGCCACCTGCTGCAACATCTCTGGGTGGGCCGCTGGCTGGCCAGCCAGGCAGGGGGCCTGCAGAAGGATGGCTCCTTGCAAGCAGATGCACGTGCCAGTGCCCGGGATGCTGCCCTGGCCTACCATCGACTGCACCAGCTGTACACCATGGGTATGGCTGGACATTAAGCGGGCCGAGGGGCTCCCTCCCCCCCTCCACCCCCTCCCCGACCCTGGCTCAAGGCCCTGCCTATTCCCAGGGAAGTATACTGGCGGGCACCTCGCTGCCATCAACCTGGCACTGGGTGCTCTGAACCTGGCTGAATGCGCAGGGGACGCGATGTCCGTGGCAACGCTGGCCGAGATCTATGTGGCAGCTGCCCTGAGGGTCAAGACCAGTCTCCCTCGGACCTTGCATTTCCTGACTGTGAGTGGGTGAGGGGCTGGTGGTGAGAGGGCTACGGCTGACCTTGGCAGCTCTGACCAGTAGCTCCCTGGCATGGGGCTGCCCAGGACAAGGAAGCTGTTATGGGGTTGAGGCCGGGCCTTGGCCTCAGCCCAGTGCCTGGGTCCAGTGTGACCACTCAACTCCTCTCCCCCACAGCGCTTCTTCCTGAGCAGTGCCCGGCAGACCTGCCTGGCGCAGAGTGGCTCCGTGCCCCTTGTCATGCAGTGGCTCTGCCACCCTGTGGGCCACCGCTTCTTTGTGGACGGGGACTGGGCTGTGCACAGTGCCCCGCGGGAGAGCCTGTATAGCTTGGCCGGGAACCCAGGTGTGCTCTCATCCCATCCCTTGTCTGCCATTGCTGTTCCTTGTCCCCTGTCCCCCATCCGTCACTCATCCCCACCACTTGCCCTGTCTCTTGTCCCCCATCCGATCCCTTGCCCCCCATCCTCATCCCTTGTTCCCCATATCTGTCCCATATTTCCCGTCCTGCATCTTCGTGCCCTGTCCCTATTCCATCCTTCATCCCCACCACTTGCCTCATCTCTTGTACTTTGCCCCCCCTTCCTTGTCCCCCATTCCTCATCCTTGTCCCTTGTCCCCCATCTCTCATCCCTGTGACCTGTCCCTTGTCCCCCATCTTCATCCCTTGTCCCTCATCCTGTCCTTCATCCCCATCTCTTGTTCCCTGTCCCCATCCCCTGTCCCCATCCCTTGTTCCCCATCCCTGTCCTTCATCCTCATTCTCGTCCCCTAATCCTTGTCTTCATCCCTCCACACCATCCCTCATCCTGTGCCTCCACCCTGTCCTTCATCCCCAGCGTCTCAGGGTGTCCCTGCCCACTCCATCCATCCCCGTCCCATCTGTTGCAGCTGTAGGGGTTGCAGGAAGGGGGAGGCCCGGCTGGGTCTTTCTTAGCTGGGGCACTACAGAAGCGAACCCTGAGATGAGGATTGGACGGCATTTGTTTATTTGGGAAGTGGTCCTAGGAAGCACCAAGTGGAGTGAGGAAGTGAGACTGGGAGGGGTATCCAATAGACTAGACGACTCCCGAGGAAGAAGGGCTAAGACTCAGGCCTGCAGGTATCTCCTGGAAAGGCGGAGAGCACCTCAGTGGTATCCTGTATAAGAGGAGGCGGGCAACTTATCCACCAACTCCTGTCTGTCGCTGGCCATGCTCTGTGGCATTTTGGAGTGTAGGTCAAGCCGCCCACGTGTCCAGGAGAAAGTCTGGGTGTGTAGAGGTAAAAGTGGGCACCAGTGGTCTGCTGTGCCCTGCCCCCACCCTCACCTCTTCTCTCCTTCCCCAGTGGACCCCCTGGCCCGGGTCACTCAGCTGTTCCGTGAACATCTCCTGGAGCAAGCTCTGAACTGTGTGGTCCAGCCCAATCCTGGTCCCGGATCAACTGGTGGAGACCAGTAAGTGTCCCTGCCCCCTTCCACCTGGAGTCCAGGAGGAGCTGTGTCCAGGGACCAGTGTAGGTGGACCGGGTCTGGCCATTGCCCCTTGCTGTGTATCCTCAGCTGTAATCTTCCCTTCTCTCCACGTCTCAGTTTCCCCACCAGCAGGCAGGAGGAGACAGTGGAGGAGGGGGAGGGAACCCTGCCGCCTGTCTTCACAGCCAGCCCTCTCCTGCTGCAGGGAATTCTCAGATGCCCTTGGGTACCTGCAACTGCTCAACAGCTGTTCCGACGCTGCTGGGGCTCCTGGGGCTCCCGCCTGCAGCTTCTCCATCAGCCCTGGTGAGCCCTCAGCCCCTCCCCCTACAGTAGATGCAGTGTTGCTGAGGGCTCAGGGGGCTTTGCAGTGGTGGGGAGAGGTGCTGGTAGTGTGGGGCCTCTCCCCAGAGACCCTCCCTCTTCTGCAGGCACTGACCCTGTGTCCAAGTGGTGGGCATCACTGGCTACTGTGGCAATCCATTGGCTGCGGCGGGACGAGGAGGCAGCTGAGCAGCTGTGCCCACTGGTGGAGCACCTGCCTCGTGCCCTGCAGGAGTCCGAGTGAGTGCTTCGAGCTGCCCACTGCCCTGCTGCCTGCCATCAGCCCCATGTGATAGGGGCTGCCCCCCCTTTTCCATGGGCAGTGGGGGCTCACTGAGGGCCAGGGGCCCAGCCTGACCACCCCTCCTCCCCCCCCGCCCACAGGAGAACCCTGCCCAGGGCGGCCCTGCACGCCTTCAAGGCTGCCCGGGCCCTACTGGGCCGCAGTAAGGCAGAGTCCATGCCGGCCAGCCTGGCCTTCTGTGAGAAGGCCAGTGGGCACTTGCAGGACAGCCTGGCCACCATGCCAGCTGGCAGCTCCATTGACAAGGTGAGGGGTGGGGCTGGGGGGCCTGGCAGGTCTAGGGGTCGTGGCCTTTCCACAGGTCACAGAAGTCCACAGGGTTAACCCAAGTAGAACAGGACTGGGGGTCTGGCTGACCTTTCTTTTTGGCTAAGGCTTGGGCCATGGGTTCAGGGAGGAGAGACCCTGCTGCCTTACCACAATGTCCCTACCCCCAGGGCACAGGTGGCAGGCACGGGGGCCTGGAGAGGCGGGTGGCCCCGAGGTGCATTGCTGTTGCATTGCACGTGTGTGGCGGGTGCAGTGCCTCAGCAGTGCAGCCCGGGGCTGGCCCCTGGCGCCGTGGGTCACCCCACTGTGCTCTGAGCTGGGCCTTCCTGACCCTGCCCTGTCCACCCCCTCAGGCCATGCAGCTGCTTCTGTGTGACCTGCTGCTGGTGGCGCGCACGAGCCTGTGGCAGCAGCAGCAGCCACCGGCACCAGCTCAGGCCTCCCCAGGGGCAGGCAGTGGGCCCCAGGCCTCAGCCCTGGAGCTGCGTGGCTTCCAGCAGGACTTAAGCAGCCTGCGGCGACTGGCCCAGAGCTTCCGGCCCGCCATGCGGCGCGTGAGTGCTGGGACCCTCGCCTGGTTATGGGGGCGGGAAGGGTGGCTGCGGCCAAGCCCTGACTCTCCTGGCATTTGCCCACCCAGGTGTTCCTGCATGAGGCCACAGCTCGGCTGATGGCAGGGGCCAGCCCCACACGGACCCACCAGCTCCTGGACCGCAGTCTGAGGCGGCGTGCCGGCCTGGGCGGCAGAGGAGGTGAGCGGTGCCGTGAGGAGGATGTGGGGGGTTCCCTAAAGCCCTCCTCCCAGAGGGATGAGACAGGAGGTTCTTACTGAAGATTGTCTGCATGTGGGCAACCGACATCTGTGGGACACAGCTGCCCATCTTCAACGGGGCAGGCCCCGAGGCCTAAGGTGGGCTGGGGAGAGCGACCTTGGGGAGTAGGACCCGCGATCCCCTTGGGGCCTGGGAAGACCACCCTCGGGCAGCAGTGCCTGTGCTACCGGGTGGTCTTTTGGGGTTGCGGCCCCGCCGCTAATGCAGCCCCTTACCCAGCTTTGACGCAGCCCTTGTGCGCAGGCGTGGTGGCAGAGCTGGAGCCGCGGCCCACGAGGCGAGAGCACGCAGAGGCCCTGCTGTTGGCCTCCTGCTACCTGCCACCTGGCTTCCTGTCGGCACCCGGTCAGCGCGTGACCATGCTGGCCGAGGCGGCACGCACGCTTGAGAAGCTCGGCGACCGCCGACTGCTGCACTATTGCCAGCAGATGCTCCTGCGCCTGGGCGGCGGGACCACTGTCACCTCCAGCTAGACCCTGGGGGCAGCGTAGAACCCAGGCGGCGGCGTCCTCACCTGGAGCCATGCTAGAGGCAGCTCTGGAGACCCCGGTCTATCTCCAGCGGTTCACCCTCAGGCTGCACTGTGCCTGGGGTGACAGGAGGCCCGCGGAGATCTTTGTCTCTGGCCCTGGGAGGCTGGAGTGGGCGCAACCCCACCGCCCCGACTGCACCCCAGCTGTACAAGTGGTAACTGAAAGGTGCTTACCTCTGGTGGCTGCTCTGGGGGTTGCAAGGGCAGAGGGCAGGAGCCTTGTTTCACCCCATGCTCCCCCGGCAGTGGCTCTTTTCCTGTTTAGAGGGAAGAGGGGTCGACTGGGCTGTCCTGGCCAGCATTGCTTCCCTCCCCTCTCTGGGAAGACTTGTACATAGTGTACATCATCAGGGTGCATCTGCCTCCTGGCCTCAGAGGCTCACGTGCTTTGTCCTTTGCAGACTTTATTTTCATAGGTTGAGAAGTTTTGTACAGAGAATAAAAAATGAAATTATTTATAACTTAAGTTTGGAGTATGTCCTTCAGTTGATAGGCATGCCGACCAGTAGGGGGTCCTTTGGGCAATCGCTTCCCCCAGCATCTAGGCAAAGGCTTCCCATCCCCATAGGGACAGTGGTGGGGCCCTGTCTTGCGTTTGATGTTGTTATGAGGGTCCTCACTGTATGACCTCCAGTTAGTCCTCCCCCATGAAGCTCTGGGCCACATCTTTGGGCTGTATCAACCCCTAACCCTTAAGGCTTTGATGGTCTCAGTTGTCTCTACCCACCTCCCAGCTTCAGCCCCCATCAGATCTGGGGTTACAAGGGAGGATGAACTCAGTGTCCTCGAGGGTTTGCCTTGGCAGGAGGAGCTACAACCTGGGTCTTCCTGTATGTCTGGGTGTCAAGTCTCGCCTTCCTCCACGCATCCCCTAGTCATCTCACACACCCAAAGTGTTGTACCACCATCACAATGGGACCCTGGGACCACATGGGGGTGATGACCTGGTAGCAGGGGCCTGTTACCTGCTCCTACGGGAATAGCCAAGAATCCCTGATTCGGCATTTGTGTCCCCCTGAGCCTCTTCCTCCACTTCACCCCCACCTAAAGCCTGGCCCCTCTCCCAGGGAACTCTTGCCAGAAGCCACGGGCTGCAGACTTCCAAAACAATCGTCGTATCTTTATTGACTTTTTTTTTTTTCTGAATGCAATGACTGTTTTTACTCTTAAGGAAAATAAACATCTTTTAGAAACAGCTCGATACACACAATCTTCAGTGTGAAGCAATATACTAATAAGAACACTAGTCGTCTTAACATTTACAGTCTTCATATATATTATATATATGTATATGTATACATATATATACACTATATAACGAGGCCAGATATAATACACACGTTTACCATTTTACAGTCATATATACAAGAAGTCACTAGGGTGGCCCGGTCTGGGAGCTGCATCAGGCCTATCGAAGCGTGGACAGAACTGAGGACACAGGCGGACGGACTGGCAGGGGCTGGCCAGGCCGGTGGAGACTGCGTAGGGAAGAGGCATTGTGGTAGCCCCATCCCCCGCAAGGGCCCGGTTGGGGCTCTGTGGTGCAGGGCCCACGACGCACAGCGCGACACATGGGAAAAGCGAGCATGTTCCCAACATATATACATTCTATGTAACATATAGAAAGGGGTACACAGGTTTTGTACACGAATCTAGCGCTGTCCCTGTTCCCGTGCTGAGTGGGCGCTGCGGTCCCCGGAGACGGTAGTCGTGCAGAGGGACGATGGCTGCATCCGCCGAAGGTGTGCCCCGGAAGGGTCTCCTTTCCTTTTGGGCTCCTAGGCTGGTCTCCAGCGGTGGGGTGGAGGACTGGGAAAAGGACGAACAGAAGAAGCCAAAGGGGTACCCCAGCCCGGCCCCACGCAGGGAGCCGGCATCCCCTGAGCATGGGTGTCGGGCTCACCGGGGCCAGCCCAAACCGCACGAAAGCTTAGGCGAAGGCTGCGTGGGAAGGGCAGGTTCCAAACGTTTTGTTCCAGAGGCTCTGGCTCCCTCTCACACCGGCCTAGCGCTCTCTGGAACGCCTCCTGCATACTCCCGCCTCATTCGTGGAGCCATGAGCCTCCCTCTGCCTCCCCCAGGGCCCCTTGGCCCCCCACCCCCACCCAGTGAGATCAGTTGCGTGCCACGACAGACTAGGGTGGCGTCTGCACCCATGTGGGATGTATGCCACCTCCTTTCAGAACTTCCGGGGGGGAGGCACGTTCCCAGGCCAGAGCCCTCTCCCACACCCACCAGAGACTGGGTGCCCCAAGGAGTCTGGCCGCTTCGCAAGCTCCCCTCCAAACCCGACTCCGGGCTAGTGGGCGAAAGCGCCACATGCCGTCTGGTTCCTGGGAGCAGGCGGCTTCCGAAGGGGTTTTCTGCCCAGTCAGGGCTACAAGTCTCAGCCCCCGGTGGCCGGATCCAAGATCCGGGATCTGGATCAAGGATCGGCTCCGGACCCGCAAGCGGCTCCCTTCCTTCAGCGGCAGGTGGTCGAGCGGGCTCCGGCAGCTCCCCCAGCCATTGAGGGTGGTTACAACTGCAGCCTCTGCAAGAAAAGAGTAGACGTCGACAGTCCGTTATTCACAGTTGAGCGCAAGGGGTTAACTCCTCCTAGGACCCGCCCCAGGACGTATTGCATTGGACAAATCTGCTGCTGCAAAAGACCTCTTTAAAGTGTTAAAAAGCAAAGATGTCACTTTGAGGACTAAAGTGCGCCTAACCCAAGCCATGGTGTTTTCAATCGCCTCGTATGCATGGGAAAGCTGGACAACGAATAAGGAAAACTGAAGAATTGACGCCTTTGAATTATGGCACTGGCGAACAATATTGAATATACCATGGACAGCCAAAAGAACGAACAAATCTGTCTTGGAAGAAGTACAACAGAATCCTCCTTAGAAGCAAAGGTGGCGAGACTTCGTCTCACGTACTTTGGACATGTTATCAGGAGGGACCAGTCCCTGGAGAAGGACATCATGCTTGGTAGAGTAGAGGGTCGGCGAAAAAGAGGTAGACAGACCCTCAGTGAGATGGACTGACACAGTGGCTGCAACAATGGGCTGAAACATAGCAACGATTGTGAGGATGACGTAGGACCCGGCAGTGTTTCGTTCTGTTGTACCTGGGATCGATATGAGTTGGAGCCGACCCAACGCACCTAACCGACCAAACGCAGCTGGAAGCTCCGCCTTGTCCCAGGCGCGGATTTCCCATAAGCCCCGCCCCCGACGCGACCCGGCACCCGCGGGAGGCCCCCACCACAGCCCCGGAGCGCTACTCCGCTACTCCGGGGTGGTTTCCAGTGGCAGGCAAACATCCGCTTGGGCCCCGCTCAGCCCTCCCTCAGTCCCCTTTCTGGTAGGGCACTGGGGAGGCCCTCCCAGGCATCTTCTGGAGCCCCCTCCAGGGAATCAAGGTCGCCCAGGACCTGCCAGATCTATACAGCGTCCTTTCACGCAGCACGTGCCCACCTGCTCCCGCCTCACTCACCGACCGTGAATCATGAGGCCACGGTGGTGGCTGGTGGTGGCAGATCAGCGCTGAGCTGGGGGGTGGGGGTGGGGGGTGGGCACTGGGACTCCTGGCTGGTCAGGAGTGGGGGCGGCACCATGACTCCTGGCTGGGGAGGAGAACTCCCTCCCAGAGCTGGGCCTCCCTGGGGGCTTCCGTCTGTGATCACCTACCTGATGCTTGGGACATTTCAATGAAAAGTTCTCTTCGATGAATAAGCAACCTGTGACCAAAGAGAAGTTTCTGTGGTTAGGACAGAGCAACCCACGAAGGGCTTGTGGTGTCTGGTCAGGGGGAGAGGGAGGGAGCACCCACCCACCTAGGCTGTCTCCTTCACGGAGTAAATCACATCCTGCTTAAAATCCCACAATCTCAACTCAGGCCCTGCTCTGTGCCGGCAGCCGGCCTCTGCCCTCAGCCACTGAACACAGCCCAGGGCCTTGCTTGTGGCATTTGTTACTACTTCCTATTATACTATTTATCCACCCTGGGAGGGCAGCCTGGAGGACACCAGCTTTGACTCATTGGAGGAGTATATCCCCAGCCCCTAGACGAGGCCTTGACTCCCAGTGGGGACTCTGAATGTTTGCTGACTGACTGGATTCAGTCGCAGATCTGGATTTGAATGCCAGCTCCACCCACTGGTTACTACTTCTCTGAGCCTTGATCTCTACATCTGTAAAGTGGGCATGATGCCACCTATGTGTACGTATCCCATGGGGAGTGTAAGCCACCAGAACAGGTCTGGCACAGGACAGGTGCTCGGGCTGAGGGCTTGTTCCAAGGGGGCTCATGTCCTAGCTGGGGAGGCCAGCTAAGCAGGGGGCAGGGGAAGGAGGAGTACAGGGCCTTGGGCCTGAGCAGATCCCAGCATGTGTCTGGCATCTAGGGGCATTACCCACCTTGAAGGGTCATAGAGGATGGAGGAGCATGCTCTGCCCTTGGCATCTACCTGGGACCAAGGTATGAGGATCTCTCGAGTCCCACTCCCCTGCCTGCCACCACCTAGGGAGGCCCTGGCTTTCCCCACTGGCGCCCCCGCTCCTCCTCCCCAGCTCCATCCCAGGTCCGCCTTGCCTCCCAGGCCTTGCCAGCACCGTCTTGAACACACCCACAAATGCTTGGGAGCCAGACCCACAAACAAGCTCCCCCCACCTCCTCCTGGCTCTCAGGCAGCCAGCCAGTCGGTGGCGAGGGCTCCAGGTGGACCCCTCTCTCGGTGTCTGAACCTGGGAACCGCGGGCCCAGCTAACAAGGTGACCCCTGGCCTAAGTGAGAAGGTTCTGGCGGTGCGACCATGTTGGCGGCCTCTGCTCAGTCACTGCTTTCCTCCAGAGTAGGGCCCCTGGACAGGAGGGGAGGGGGAAGGAGTGGCTGGGGGCCAGGGCAGCAGTGAGGGGCAGAGGCTGGCAGCCTGACCCAGACACCCAGAGGTCCCTGTGGGGCCTCACTTGGCAGGAATGGGTGGTATGCGAGGGGTGCTAACAAGGGCCTGTGGCTTAGACATCAGATCAGCCTGGCCTGCTGTTCCTCAGTTCCCCCTCACCCCCAACCTCTCCTGGCTGGCTAAGGCCACCATCTTCCAGAGCACCCAGGGAGAGGGCAGCTTCGACTCTCCTCCCTGCCTCCCAGCTGCCATGCTCCCTCATTCTCCCACCTTCTTTGGCTTCAGCTCCTCAGTTTCCCAGTGGTCCCCTCAAACTTCTCCACAGCTGCCAGCTGTAAAATGGTGGTGCCCTCTTCCCCACTGCTTCCTCTATCGCCCTCCACCTGCTGGTGCTGGTGAGTCTCTCTAGAACCTGGCTGTGACCATGCCCCGTATGTCCAAAGGGAACCTGCCCTCTGTGAATGCAAAAACAGCCCCAATTCTACCCCTCCTGTATTCAAGCCTTTGCAATTGGACTTTGAAGCCCCGCCCCCATCAAGAAGTGGGGTCTGTTTTCCACCACTTGGATCTGGGCTGGTCTTGAGACCAACTTCGACCAATAGAACGCTTTGGAAGAGCTGCCCTGCCAGTTCCCAGCCTAGGCCTCAAAAGGCCTTGTAACTCTGTCTGGCTCTGAGTCCACCGAGGCCGTGAGAATAGGCTGGCCTGTGGAGAATGAGCGACCACATGGAGCAGAGGCGATGCTCCACCTGAGGCCATCCTGGATGGTCCTGCACCAGCGGGCCTGACAGTGCACTACAGCCCACGAGTGAACTTGGCAAAGAGAAGCCCACCCTCCCACCGTGAGAAATAATAAAAGGGCTGCTATTTAAGCCACTCAGTTGGGGCTGAGAAGGGCCAGCAGCTAAGCATCAACAGCTAACACACTCTATCTGCACATCCCTGCCCTGCCTCAGGCCTGCTCTCCACCTGTCCCCTCTTCTTTGTGATGGTGCCCCACATTGGGAAGCCGGACATCAGGTTTGACACCTCCCTCTCCCTCATCTCTCACATCAATTCCTATCAATTCTGTGCCAATGAAGTCTCCGGACCACATGGCTCTATATGCACCAAACACCCACAGTCTCTTGCCTGAACTACTGCAGTAGTCCCATCAGCTCTTTCTCACACACAGTTCTGATCTTGTCAGTGCCTTGTCTCTCTAGCGTTGGGGCTCCGCTCCTACTTTAATCCAGTGACTCTATGGAGATCCCTATTATATGGGGAATACTTCCAGAATTTGATTTGTAACAAAAGTTCTGTTGCTAAAGCCTGACGTGCAAGTCCCAACACTAACCAGCCACTGCCCACTCCCTCTGTCCTCTGGTCTTTCAAGGCCTGGCTCAGATGTCACCTCCTCCTAGAAGTCTTCCTGGATTGCCTATAGCTCAGGCAGGATGAATCCCTCACAGCACACACTCCGTCTGGTCTGCATCACTCTGGCCAAGAATCAAGGTTTCCCTGTGTGTCCCATTCAAACGTGAGCCCCTTGCGGGGCTGGACAATACTGGGGTAGGAGCAGGAGCACTGGGTATGGAATAAGCATGTGGGACCACACCCTGGTTATGCCCAAGCCGTGCTGTGTGACCTTGGGTGAGGCAACCTCCCTGCAAAGGAGCAAGTGGAGGTAACACAGGTGCCTACATAGGGCATGGCACAAAGGAGGTGCTAAAAAATCACCACAGGGTGAAGACCACAGCCCATGGTAGCTGCTAATTAGTTGTGAGGCCCTGTCTCTGGTTAAGTGGCTGAGTCCAGATTAAAATCTGGTTTTCAGTGCTCATGGTGCGGGTAGGGGAGCCGACTGTCGGCTCAGCCCTCCATGAAGCTGTCACCACTCAAAGCCTGGCTTGGGGAGGGGCAGGTGCCAGCCAGGACCAAGCGGGCAAGTGGGGGACAGGGATTGGTCCCCTGCCCAGGACAGGAGGAGTGTGCACCAGGTCAGGAGCAGGGGTAGCTGGTCTCCAGGCAGTGGGAAGGGTCCTGCTGGTCTTGGGAGAGTGATGTGGCCTCGGCTGCTCCATCCATGAAGCGGGGTCACGAGCATGTCATCCCTCTTTCAGCTCACAGGGAGGGATGGAGGGAACTGGAGCCCCCCGCCCCCTAGTTCTCTGTCCACATCTAAGTAACTCACCTGGTGGGGGAAGGGGTGAGCACAGGGAGGGAGACAGAGGTCAGGTGGGCTGAGGCTGCATTCCCTGGGCCCCCCCACATGAACAAAGCCTTGTGTGTTCATTACTTCACTCCTGGCTCCAAATAGCTCCAAATAGAAGAGATTATTATAATCCCCATTTTACAGATGGGGAAAGTGTGTTCTGAGACTTGCTCAAGGCCACACAGTAAGATCGCCACCAGGGGTTGAATCCGTGCAAAAGCTGTCTCTACCCTAAAATAATGCCATCATGAATGACTAAAATGCCATCATAAGCAATTTCTTCCTTCAGATGAAGTAAGAATTGTGTTTGAGCTTTGGTCTCCCCACCTGGGTGATGAGGGTTGAGGCTCTCAGATCTCTCTAGCCCTTGCAGTCTGTCATTCTGCATGCCTGGCAATAGTAGGTGCTCAATAAATGAGTGACAGTAGAGAATGGGGGAGAGGCTTCAGACCCCATCACCCTGCTTAAACATTCCATAACTGTTCTCCATCATCAACAGAAGATGATTTGGCCTCAGTCTGTTTTGAATCTCATCTCCTTCCACTTCATTCTGTTTTTGCTGTCCTTTCCCTTTTTCTCTGCCCAGAGAACTCCTATTCATCCTTCAAAGGCCCAGCCCCAGTATTCCCTCCTCTCTGACGCCAGAGATCCTCCCCATCCCTCGGCAATGACAGCTTCTCTAATAGCTCTCCATTTTATAATGTATGCCCCAGTCTCCCCCATCAGACTGGACATTCCTCAAATGGGGGTCGGGGGACTGACTCATCTTCATGTCCCTAGCATTGCCCAGCACAGGCCCAGGAGGCAAGGAGATAAAGAACCTCTGGGGCAGGAGAGCAGGGAAGCCGAGGGGTCACATGGGGTCTGGGTTCAAAGAGCTGTGCTCAGGGTCCCGCTAGGCCCTTCCTGCCCCTGCAGGCTGGCTCTTACCAGCATCGCTGGCACACGGGTAATGGTAGGTGTGGACGCATCCTTTGTGGCAGCACCCAATGGTGGCCCCGGCTTCTTGGCAGCTGGAACATGTCTGGTGAAGAAAGGGGAGGCAAGTGAGTCTCCACTGAAGAGCTCAGCCCTCGAGCTTTACAGACATGCCCTGGTCCCCTGCAATGGTTCCATAAATCGACTGGAGGTGGCTCAGGACTGAAGTGCAAACACCCACCAGGCTTGATTCTTTGGCAGCCCCTGGGCTGGTGCTATGGGATAGGGGGTGCTCGGGGATGGGAAATGACCACTTAGTAGATAAGCATGTGGGTCTTGATATCACACAGACCTGGGCTCGAATCCCAACTCTGCCCTTCTGCACTGTGTGACATCAGGTGACTCAAACTCTCTGTGCCTCATTTCCTCATCTGTCAGATGGGTATGGTGCCATGGGGGTGCTTGTGAAGGTTCACTGAAGTAATCTGCGTGCTCAGCCAATGGCAAAAACCCAATAATGCCAGTTACCACTATCGCTGCGAGTACCAGCCAGCATCTGTGGGTGCTTCTGGGTGCCAGCCAAGTCCTGTGTGTGTCCTCATTCTCCTAACAGCCTTCAAGGTGGGCAGCTTTCACTCACTCCACTTCACAGATGGTGAAACTGAGGCTCCCATGCCTGTCAAGTGATGTGATCCACATGGTTTTCTTCCCTAAGGCAGCAGACTGCACCCTGGGCCAGGAGTCACCATCCCCGCCCCAGGATGAGCCAGGCACCTCCCCAGGACTCAAGTTTCACTTCTGAAAAGGAGGAAATAAGGAAGCCAATCTCCTGAGATGCTGAGTTCAGTAAATGTTGTCCACCCAGCCTGGTGCCCGGCCCATGCTGGGTCTCAAAGTGTGTGTGCCCTGAGCTTGGGAGCCCCACTGTGCCTGGCTTGGTGCCTAGGGGACAAGATGGCAATGCCAAGAAAGCTCTTGGAAGAGCAAGGCCAAACCGGAGGTCTGAAGAGGGACAGGGACTGGCCCCAAATCATCAAGACTCCAGAACCACAGCCCCTCATTGTATGGAGGAGCCATTTCCCTTCACTCACCCAGCAAGTCAGTGGCGACAGGGCCCAGGCTCAGATGTTAAGCTGCTGAAACAAGTAAAGATGGCTCACTGTGTGCCAGACACAGCTGGCAGCCTCATCCTCTTAACAACCTTATGAGGCTGGTGGTGGTGTTCTTTTACTGGATTTACCAGTGAGGAAACTGAGGCTCAGAAAGGTTAAGTCCAGCTTGAGCAGCAGGCTGGACTCTGGAGCACATGTTCACAACCACACCCTATACTGCAATTGGAAAGGACAGGGCTCCATCCAAGGACCCAAGACTGAGAGGACCCCTCCACCCCAAAACAGCTGGGGGAGGCCGGGGGTGAGAAATCCTCTCCTCCCTCTCCCAGATGAGCCCAAGAATGCCCTCTCTGGCGCCCAGAGCTGAGACTGGGTAGGTCCAGGGTGGGAGCTGAGGAAACATTCTGAAAGCTGGGTTTTCACATGACCTTTCTGAACGGGCAGCTTCCTTTTGGGCAGGGCTGGGGTCTCCTGGGGCCAAATATCCCCCCCAAATTTCTGACCAACAAAAAGGCGATGAAGCAGGAGTGGGGCCCAGATCAGGCTGAAGTCTCCTGTCCAAAATTGGCCCTTGGTATGCTTGGATGTTTAAAGGGTAACAGTGAGGACTGCTGTGGCTGATTGGGGATTGGGGCTTCTCTCCTGTTTCCTATGCCAAGGCCCCCCAACAATTCATGAGGCAGGCACATGAATGATCCCCATTTTAGGAATGAAGAAACTGAGGTAGGGAAGATGGAGATGTCAGGTACTCCTGACCCCAGCACCACTGCCCCTGCTACCACAACAGGACTCAGGCTAGAGGAGGCGGGAACCCCAAACTGGGGCCTCTTCATCACATTGAGTCACACTTCAGCACCCACTCCCCAAAGCTTCTGCAGAGCCAGGCACCATCTGGCAGGGGTGGGGGCCTGAATCAGTCCTGGGGAGGGTACACTCTCTGGAGGCAGACTGGGAGACTGAGGTTCCAGGAGGTGGGTATGGCAGGGCTCAGAGTAGGCAGGCTTTGTGAGAATTCCCAGGACAGAGGAGAAGGCTGGGGGGACACTGAGGGAAGAGGGGCATGCCCAGGGTCCCACACAGAAGTTCTATCCCTCCAGAGACAAAGCTGAGGCCAAAGGGCCAGCAGGTATGATGGGGTGGTGGCTGGCCTCCTCCCAGAGCCCCTGTGGGTACCAGGCAGGTCAGTCACAGAGGCCCCATCTAATCCTGCAGCCTTGCTAATGGGGCCAGCGTGTCACAGAGGAGGCTTCCAGAGGCAAGTGCCTTCCCCAAGTCACATCCCAGCCCTCAGCAGAGCTGGGACTGAACTGGGGCTGTGTGAGTTCCCATAATGGTGCTGCCACTGGGCTACCAAGGCAGGAGGGGGCCCTGGTGAGGACAGGAGGCACCGAAGGTGTTGAAGAGGGCAGGTGGATTGAGTGGTGGCCCTGAGTACCCTCTCCTCTGGGAAAGGCACGTGTAGCCAGGGGCCCTGGGAAGCCCCATCCCGTTACTGGGATGCTGCTAATGAGCTCACTGAGGCCCTGGGAGGGCGCCCTGCACTCACCCTCTCTGGCAGGGAGGCCCTTCAGCCCTTCCTGAGCTGCCCCAGAGGCCTTCTGTCCAGAGGCAGGGAGCTGCTGCACTGGCAGACATCTGAGGCCTATTCTGACCTTCCTGGGGAGGCCCCATGGTGGCAATGGGCTGGCAGGCCATCTTTTGAGCATGGACAGTGGCCAGAGTTCAGCACTTAATAGCTGTGACACCAGCAGAAGTGCTGCCAGATCTCTGTGGAGGCAGCGTGGAGGGGCCCCGAGCCCTGGGAGCAGGAGCTGGGCCTGGGGTGCTACTCTGTGCTTGTGCCCTGCCCCCGGCCCAGGCCATGAAGGGGAAGACATAGGCTTGGGGGTGGGTGGGTGTGAGCGAGTGTCAGGGGGGTTGGGTGCCGAGATTGGCCCAGTCAAGTGGTGCAGGCAAGAGCCTGAGCAATGAGCTGCAATGGATGGGAAGAGAGGACATGCAAACAGGTGTAGACACTGCTTTTGAGAGCTGGGCTGTGAACAGCAGAAGGGTGGGGGCCAGCTGGGGCTGGGAGCTGAGGGTTATTATTTTTTAAGGACAGGAGAGACTGGAGCCTATTTAAAGACTGCTGGGAAGGAGCCAGTCATAAGAGAGAAAAGCAGAGAAAGTAGGAGGGAGTAAAGAGAAGGAAGGGAAGAGGGGAGAGACCCTGGGGGGCTGTCCTGGCGAGCTGGGAGGAAGCACCCAAAGATGGTCTCTAATCTCCCCTTGGGCTATGGGGGGCTGAGCCATGCACCGATGGGGTGGTCAGCATAGGCTCCTCTGGAGAGTGGTTTTGCCAGGTGAGGCCATGAGAACCCAGGATGGAGGGGTGAGTGGAGAGCGGCTGCAGGGAGGGCAGTGAAAGCAGCAGTGTGGAGGCAGCCATGCTGGGGCAGGGGGCAGAAGGCCTGGAAGGATGGGTAAGGGCCATGGAGGCAGGAGGGAGCTAGTGGGTGGGCTTCAGCCTCGGTTCTGGGTGTCGCCATGGGGGTGGTATAGGGAGGCCAGAGGTACAGGGTGGGGCAGCTCCCTTCTGACATGAAGCTCCTCAGATACAGGAAGCCCTCAGGGACACTCCCGAGGCCCAGGCCAGCCCTGACACCCCCAGCTTCTCCTCCTCAGTCAGGACTGTTCCTCAGATCTGAACCTCTACTCAGGAGCAGGGACCAGAGCCCAGCATTCAGCAGACTGAATGAATGAGTGAATGAATGAATGGGTGAGTAGGCCAGGCGTGGAGCAGGGCAGCTCCTGGGAGGGCAATCGTCACAGAAGCCCTGGAGGCGGGAAGGAACACAGGCCCAGGGAGAGTGCGGACCCTACCTGCCCCCAGACCCCTTGAGCTAGCAGGAGGCAGGCCTGCACGGGTAAGGAGAGAGCTTTGGTGGTCCCTCTGAGCTGCTCCAAACCTCATCTGCAGAATGGCCCGTGCTCCCCGCCTCGGTAAGGGGCCACTGTGAATGCTGGGCGTCTGGCAATAGTAACACTACTAGTAACAATACTGCTCCTATTGCTACTACCTAGACTCCTGGTGGGGCAGTGGTTAAGAGCTTGGCTGTTAACCCAAAGGTCAGCAGTTTGAATCCACCAGCCACTCCTTGGAAACCCTATGGGGCAGTTCTACTCTGTCCTATAGGATTGCTGTGAGTAGGAACCAACTTGATGGCACCTAACAACACAACACTGCTACTACCACCGCTGATCTCAATATCAGATACTCATAGGGCACTAAACACGCACGGGCACTGTTCTAAAGGCTTCACGGGAATTAACCCTTTAATCCTCATAGGCCCTCCATGGCAGGTGCGGTTACACTACAGATGAGGAAATGAAGGCATGGAGAGGTTAAGTAACATGCCTCAAGGCACACAGTGAGCAAGAGGCCGTGCTGGCATTTGAACCGGAGACACCAGAGCTCCACGACAGGGTGTTTTCAGGGCTCCCCTGTCGTCTGGTCCTGGGGCCATTCTGCCAGGTGGGAAGGGCCCTGTCACCAGGGCAAAGTCCCAACCATGTGCTATACCCAGGGGTCTCCTAAGTGCCCAGCTCCATTTAAAGGTGAAGAGCTGGTACCTGGGGCAGACAATTTGCTTTTAAGGGCCAGCCTTGTGCTGCCTTGTGGTCTGTTCTGGTCCACTCAAGAGAAGGGGGGATCAGTGGCCCCAGGTGGGCTGGAGCTGAAGGTTTGGGTGAATGTGAGCAGGCCCTGGGCTGGGCAGGCAGCACGGGCAGGCTGGACAGAGGGGTGGGCATGGGCAGGTACGTGCCACCTCAGCCTGCAGGCGTCTCCAGTCCCCGAGCCCCCCAGATGGTGCTCCAAGTCTGTGGACATTATTAATGTGTGGTGTGTGCATGTCTGAGAGACAAAGGGCTCCCAGCCTTGTCCTTCAGAACCCCAAGCTCCCCGCCTTGGCTGGGCTGGCCTCTTACCATGTCCACAGCCACCTTCATGGCCTCTTGCAGCCCAAACAGCTTGCCGGCCACCAGGTAGATCCCGCCCGTCCACACAGCACAGGCCTCGTGCACCCAGTGCTCCTGGGTGCCCCCGCCAGGCTCCACCGGGTCCTCTTTGCTGCATTCATGCTTGCGACTCTTGTCGGCTGAGGCCGCCTCCTCACCACCATCTCCCTGGCCGTCACAGCAGTAGCAACTCTGCAGCCGCCTGGACAGGCCCCGGGCGCTGGTGCGCAGCGAGCCCTGCTTGGCCAGGTCGGCTGGGCCATCAGGCCTCTGGGGTTTTCCAGCGGTGGCAGCAGCTGCACACTCAAGGCCTCTGAGTGTTCTCTCTAGGGGCAGTGAGGCCTCCTCATACGTGCTCTCCAGCCGCACCTTCTCCTTGAGTTTTGGCTTCTTTTTGGGGAGGCAGTGTTCAGGGTAGTAGGGACCACAGAGGTCCCCAAGGTCCTTGAAGTTGGCGGGGTTTTGGCAGAGGCAGCAAACAAGGCAAGAGGTACTAAGGGCCTTGGAGACCACGGGCCCTAGGTGCATGGTGGAAGAGAGGGGCAGGGAGGGCCGTGGCTGCAGAACAGAGCTTCCAGGGAGTGTGGCCAGGGAGGCCCCGGCTGTATCCAAGGAGAAGGAGGATGAGGAGGAAGAGGAGGAGGTGGAGGAGGAAGGCTTTCTGTGGGGTTTGGGCTCATCCCCAGGGGAGTTGACAACAGTGCATATGGTAGTGAACGCATCTCGCTTCTCCACCCGCACGTATGGAGAGAAGGCTGGGATCCGGCTGTCAGCCCGAAGCCGTTTGCAGGAGGAAATGTACTTGAGGCGGATTTCAGGTTCTGCAGGATCCAGGGGCAGCACCTGCTGCTGCCGCCGACGTTTGGCACGCCCCTTGCTGGGTGAGGAGGTGGCGTTCTTAGCCCGGCCCCGCGTGAGCCGCTTCCGCTTGGAATAACTGCTATAGTTGACATGGCCTGGCTGCTTCTGTGCCCTGGTCTGGGGCTGGCAGGGTGGGCCCTCGGGAGACTGGGAGGCTAGGCCCAGCTCCTCCATCTTTGGCTTTTTGCCTCCTCCACCAGAGATGTCCTCATCACCCCCCTGTGTGCTGCCGGCCCTGTCTCGGGGGGTCGGGAGCAGAGCTGGGCCCAGGTGGGGCCGTTTATCCAGAGGGCCTTTGGGGAGTCCCAGGGCTCCAGCCCTGCCCTTCCTGCTTCTCTTCTTAGGCGCCAGGGTGGTCCCTCTGGGTGGCAGGGCCTCTGGGGATGTAAAGGCCTCAGTTTTGAAACAGTCGGTTGAAGACAGTTTCTTACTGTTCATGAGTTTGCCTTTTAAGGATCTGTTGTTCAGATTTCTGCATAACGGGTCAGCCCCCAGAGCTGCTGGGAGCTTCTGCCCCAGACGCGCGGTTAACAGCCCTTCTTCTGCCCCCAAAGGGCTGCCTCCCATGCTCTTGAGCCCCCGCGACTTCTCGGGGAGGGCTGGGCTCAGGGGGTCAGCAGGTGCAGCCCCGGGTGCCACCTTGCATGCGAACTTCTTGAGGCTGGGCGAGGTGATTTTCTGCACGATGGCCTCCAGCTTCAATCCCCGGCCCTTGCGGGGGGGCAGCACCTTGGTTTTCACGGCCCCCTGGAAGGCAGCCCTCGAGGCCATCTTGATACAGACGCTGGGGGCCTCTGGGGGCGGGGGCTCTGTAAGGGGCTCGCCACCACTGCTCTTGGCCAGCTTGGCTTTTTTGGGAGAAGACAGCCTCTTGAAGAGGGCTAAGGTGCCCTCGGCCTTCTCCTCGTGGGTATCCCCGCCACAGCTGCTGCCACTGCTGCCACTGCTCCGTAACACCAGGCTTCGCTTCTTGGTGGGGACGGGAGCCATGAAGGAGGCCTTCCGCTTGAGTGCATGCAGGGGCCGCTCGGATGTCTTACTGACGCTCCCGCCGGGCTTGGGGACCCGCGCCCGCTGGCCTGCCCTGCCCTCCTTCTGGGGGCCTCCGGATGCCTTGAAGGGTGCGGGCAGGTGGTTGTTGGTGAGCAGCTTCTTGGTGGTGCGGCAGCTGGGCAGTCGACTCTCCGCTGGCCGCCTCCGCTTGGCATGGAAGGTCTCCTGCGTTCTGGTGCGGGACCGGAGAATCATAGAGCGCTGGTCCTTGCCTGGAGTGTCGGGCGAGCCCGGCTCCTTGGTCTTTGAGCCCATGGGGCTGCTGTCAGAAGCCACGGGCAGAGCGGCAGGGTTGCTGGGGCTGGAAGCGGCTTTGGGCGAGGGCTTCCCCACCCGTTTACCTGACTTGAAGGCTGCTCGCTGCTTGCCCCCCAGTCGGTCTAGGGGCGCAGGGGTGGTGGGCAGACCCGGGGGACCGGGTGTGCGGGGCTCACTCAGGGCCGTGAGGGAGCGTGTGCACATCCTAGGGAGCCCTTCTGAGGTGCCCCGACCTGGGGCCCCTGCCCCTTCCATCTGCCCCTGGGGGGGTCCTGCACAGGACTCAGGGAGCAGGAGGTCCTTGGGCAGTGCTGGCACTCTGCATGGGGAGTCCTCGGCCTCGGGCAGCCCCCGGTGCACCCGTCGACTCCGTAAGCTTTTGCCCCGTGGCACGGGCTCTTTCTTGGCGATGGGGGTCTCGGGCACAGCAGGCTTGTTGAGCTTTGGTGCCAGCGAGGCATCCAGGGTGGTGGTGTCCCCTGGAGTCCCCTCACCATCGGGCCCTTCCTCGCCCGGCTTCATGTGGGACAGGGAGGACTCGAACCAGCTCTGGACCTTAGACTCAGCACCCACAGTGGGACCCAGCAGGATGACGGAGTCCCCAGACAGGTGGCAGGGCGAGCCCCAGCCAGACTTTGCATCCAGCACCTCCTCCACCTCCTCCTTGGTGCACACCAGTGGGGCCTTGGGGGACAGTGGGTCCTGCAGGCTGGGCCTGTGCTCGGGGCTGCCCAGGAGCTCGCACAGGGAGGAGTACTCCTCCTCGGCCTCCAGATCCTCCTTCCTGCTAGCGGGCGGCAGAAGCGGCAGGTCCCCAAAGTCAGCGGCAGCACAGCAGTGCCGGTTCTCCTCCAGCCAGTGGTCGGCCTTGCCCACCTCGTGGCACTGCAGCAGCCCCCCCGCCTCCTCCTTCACCCCGCCTGCCTCCTCCTGCTTGAAGTCCCCAGGCATGGCTGCCTTTTCCCCTGCGGGCTCCTCCCCCTGGAAACTGAGGCAGGCCGGCGACTCCTGGGCACCCTCTTTGCTGGCACCCTCCGAGGCCTTCCCACCTGGCTCCAGGCCCTTGTTGAGCTCGCCAGAGTGCAGTCCCCACCGGGGGCAGGCATCGCCCAGGTTCTCCTCTGGCCAGGCAAAGGGGTTGGTGCCATCTACTGAGCCAGCGGTGGCTGTGTCTGGGAAGCAGTCAAAGGCTGCTGTGGCAGGGTCGGCAGGGGCTGCCCCGATGAGGGCCTTGGTGCTAAAGGAGAAGGGCCCGGCCGTCTTTTTGGGGTCAGGGGTGGCGAAGCCCACGGAGGGGTCCTCAAACAGCCCTGGGCTGAAGTCCTTGGTGTTGCCGCCCTTGTCCAGTTGCAAGGGGTCGGGCAGAGCCTCTGGTTCCCCTGGCCGTGGCCACCCGCTCTTGGCTCCGGGGTCCAGGCAGGCACTGTGGTTCTCCAGAGAGAAAGGAGGCTTGCTGGCATCCTTGGCCAGACTAGGCCCCTCAGCCCAGGCCTTATCGGCCTTCTCCACCATGGCCTCCTGCAGCCCCAGGATCTCAGAGGCCAGGTCCTCCTGCGCCAGGGCACTGAGCAGCAGCCGCGGGCAGTCGCGCTCACCTGCCACAAACTTGGAGAAGCTGTCCAGTGGCAGGCTGCTGTGCAGGCTCTGGAAGGAGTCGTCAGACTTGGTGGACATGTCGTCCGGTGAGGTCACAGAGCAAGTGGACACGGACTCGGGTTTGGCCTTGGAGTTGCTGTTGACCCTGGCAGGGCTGCCACAGGCCTGGTTGCAGTAGAGGAAGCTGCGATCCAGAGGGTCCTCGGAGCCGCTGAGGTAGTCAGCCTCCGGGGGCTCGGCGTGGATGGACTGTGGGGTGCTGCTCAGTGGTTCTGAAAGCGGTGTGCCCACCGGCTCAGCCAAGTAACTGCTGCCCTCAGGGCTGCAGTGTTGGCTCTTGAGCTGCTCCGGGGTCCTAGACACGAGGGTCTTGACCCCCTTCTTCTGTGGCACAGTGGCCTTGGAGAGCAGCAGCTGCTGCACAGTGTTGGAGATGTTCTCCACCTGTGAGGTCAGGGCTGTGAGGCTCTGCAGGCTGAGGTCCGACAGCAGGCTCTCAGGGAGCTTATCCTTCTGCAGAGGCTTGCAGTTGCCAGCCTGGGGGTCCACAGAGCTGGTGGCATCTGTTGGGGAGGGGTTGAGCAGGGGCATGAAGTGGCTGTGGTCGGTGATACCAGCGGGGAAGGCCCCGGTGCCAAGTGGCTGTTGGCTATAGGGAAAGTTCTCCAGGTTCGGCATGAGTGGTGACGGGGTAGAGCTGTAGGAAGGTGAGCGGCCCACGGAGCGTGCAGGAGAGTGGCTGGAGCTGGGGCTGAAGGTCTGGTAGTACTGCTCTGGAGTCCGAACGGCTGCATCTGGCTGGCAGTAGCCCTGGCCTTGCTGCCCATAGTGTTGGTACTTGGTGAGGTTTTGGTAATGGAGGGTTTCCTGGGCATGATGCCGGCTCTGAAGGGCTTGTTGCTGCTGCTGCTTCTGCTGGTCATAGCTGAGGCGGCCAGACGGGTAGGCATGAAGGTTCTGGACCCGCTGCCCTGGAGCCAGGTTGGCGTTGGCTGTCAGCGGCCTGTCATGGGATAGGGCAGATGGTGCCGTGCAACTCTTGTAGGACTGGGCCCCCTGCCCGCCACCTTGGACAGGCGAGGAGTAGGTGGAGGAGGCAGGGAATGACTGCGAATGCTGGGGAAAGTGGCTGCTCTGGGGGAAGGGCAGCGGTGAGGCGATGTCGTTCTGCAACTTCTGCCTCTGGAGTTTGGGGTACACCAGGGGCTGCTGAGGCTGTGGAAGCTGCTGCAGCTGCTGCTGCTGCTGCTGCTGCATGTGGAGGGGGTGAGTCCGAAAGGGCAGCTGGGTGCCCTGCTCCAGGTACTGCCTGCTGGTGGGTGCTGCTGTCTTTTTCATCAAGCTCTCATCATACTTGCCCACGCCCCCCGGCAAGGGCTGTGGCTGTGGGGGTGGTGGCTGTGGAGCCCCCCAGGCCTGCAGGCTCTCCTCTCCACCCGAATAGCGGCCTGGGTACGGGCTGTTGTCCTGCACCCTGTAGCTGGGGAAAGCCGGCCGCCCCTGCAGGGCCTGCTGCGAGGGCAGGGCTTTGCTGCTTCGGTGGTACTTCTCAGCCACGGCTGAGGCTGCCGAGCTGGCAGGCGTACCCGCACTGCCCTCATAGCCTGGATAAGGCTGCTGGTTATAATAGTCCTTGGTGAGCAGCCGTTGCCGATCACAGCTCAGCCCGGCCTGACTCGGCTGCCTGTAATTCTCCAGGCGTGATGTCTCCTGTGAGGTCTGCTGGTAGTTCTGCTGTTTGCCATGGAAACCACACCTTTCTCGAAAAGACTGCATGACTCGGGCTGGTTATCTGTGAAAAGAAAGAGAGAGGCAGAGGGGAGGGGAGGGAGGGAGAGCGATAGAGGATCAGATGCGCCACTTCCTCCTGCCCCAGAAGGCAGCCTCCCCACCCTCCCCGCTCACTTGCAACAGCTCTGCACAGTTGCCCTGCCAAGCCTCCCACCAGCTGTGCACATATTGACAACTTGTGTGTCAGGGAGGCGGTGCTGTAATTCCTGTGCCCACATCCCCTGCAGCTGAGCCCTGCCAAAGACAGCCACCAACATGGAGGTGCAAACCAGCCACCCAGTGCCAGGCCACTGCCTGCCCGCAGGTCCCTGGGCAGCTGCCACCCCCAACCCCTGGCCGGCTCCTCCCTCTCCAGCCCCTCCCACTACCCCTAGCCCTGCACTGACAGCTCCAAAGCACTTAGCAGAGCAGTCGTGGCTCCCTTGTCCCCTGGGGCCTGCTGGAGCCTGTCATCTGGTCCCTGTGGTCCATCCTTCAAGTGTGACCTGCCACACAGGGCCAAGGGGGCTTGCCCGCCCCACCTGGGGAGAAGTCGCCCTGCTACATCTTTAGGTGCGCACACACACACACACACACACACACACACACACACACGCTCACAGAGGCACGCATGCTCATACAGGCTTACATGCGTACTCACTCATGCTCACACTGGCAAACACATATGAACACACCCATGCTCAAACAGGCACACACGAGGCAGATGTGCACACACATGCACACTCAGGGCACACGCACCCCTCCTCCATCACTGCCAAGCCATCTGGAATCTGCTCCTTCTCACAGACATTGGATGATTAGGGGCCCCAAGTCACTGCAGGCACACTGTCCCTGCTTCGACTCCCAGGGATGCCGGGCAAGGGCACCTGCTTATTTTTGATATTGTAGGTGCACAAACAGATTACATGGCCTGAAGTGAGGGCGCACATACTAATGGGGGAGAGATACACGAAGTCCTGTGGCTACACCCTATCCCTTGAACGTGTGTGAAGTTGCATTCTCTCCCAGACCTGGCTCTCCGCCCCTCCCACCTCTGCAGGGTCAGGGCTAGGGCACGCCCTAGCTCCATCCATCTGGTTATAATTTTAGAGGTCAGGCCTGGGTAGGGTCAAGCTGACTGAAGCAGAATTCTGGGTCAGGGAATGACCTGGGGTGAGGTGGGGTGGGGGCCTTTCAGAGCAGAGTGACTAGATTCACTAAATAGACAGAAGGTTCTTGAGCTGACAGGCAGGCCGAACTTGCCACCCCAGAAAACACTCAGTACAGCTTGGCAAAGGGGAGGAGGGGAGGAATGTGTTGGGCTCTGGACCAGGGATCTTGTCAAGGGTCTGGCTGTCGTTCGCAGAGTCCCAGAGGGCGCTGGGGTTTACCCTGTGATAATGCTGGCTGCCCAGCCAGGAGGCAAGAAGAACTGGGCCCAGGGGAGAGCGGGGCTTTCTAGCTCTCATTCCTCAAGGCTGAGAGGAAGGGTGGCCTGCCTCGGGCTGCAGAGATTCCAGGGCTCTGTGAGGGTCAGAAAGGAGTAAAGAGGGAGGCACAGAAAAGACGCTGAGAAACAAAGACATGGGAGGCCAGGGATCCCCCCAGAGGGGAGAGGCAGGCTTACCCCTCTTCCTGTGGCCCGGATCCTACCATAGACCCCTGGCTCAGTTCAGCATCTGGGGGCCGATCCAGTCAAGCAGGACGAGCCCAGGACAGCCAGCCACGAGCCCTGTCAGCATTGCCAGGGCCCACCTTCTGCCCTGGAGTCAGCTCGCCCTGACTCAGAGATGGAGGTGCTGCAGACCTGGGAGGTGACAAGGGAGGTGCCCGCAATGTGGGGGACCAGAGTTCCACAGGGCGGGCCTCCTGCCCGCTGGCCTGTCAGCCAGCAGCCTCCCCTCACCCCCTCCCGGATTTATCACAGGCATTACTCTGACAAGAAGTGCTGTCCTCTTGACCTACTTTAATACCATCCCTGACAGCTTGGGTAAAACACTGCAGGAGGTACCTGCCAGGATGCGCTGGCCCAGAGGGGCCAGGCGGGCTTCGATTTTGGTCTGGTAGCTCCCTACCACATGGGCAGCCCTGCACCTGCTAACCCTGCTCCCTCAGAGCACGTGGTGCCCACCCAGGCAGGCCACTGCAGCGCGGAGAGCAGGCCCAGCCCCTGCCCCACCCAGTCCATATTTATGAGCCCAGAACTCAGAGAGACCCAGGACAGCACTGAAGGCTGTGCCTTGTATATCTGCACAAATTACATTTTGGCTTTTATTAGTCCCAGATCGCTCTCATTTCCTGCTGAGTGTCCTGTGGATATCATTAACATTTCTACAGGTTTTTAATTTTTTTTTTCACATTCTCCAAAATTCATTACCAGAAGCATTATTTAAAGACAGCGAGAGAATGCTGGCACTATTAAGAAGTCCTCCCCAGCCTGCTCAGTCCACGGCTCTTCCTTGTTTAATCAGTCCGAAGGCTGCGCCTTTTCACTTAGCCAAGCTATATTATAGGCAGGCTTCCCAATACACTCTAGCAGCTTGATGCGTTGAGAGTGTCTATCTCTAAGAAAAGACAGTTCAATTAAAATATGAGGAGCCTAGTGCCTGACAGAGAAGACAGGCAAAAATGCTCACCCCAACACCACCCTCCACCCCAGATGGGGGAGGTGGGAACAAAGGCAGGGCTTCAATGGACCACCAGCTCTGCCAGGAGAAAATGGAGCTCTGCATCTTTAAGAGCAGCCTGGGCCTGCCATGGGCTCTGTTGTTATTAATTATTATGATTATTATTACTTTTCAAGAGCACTAGGAAAGGACGAGGCAGGGGAGGAGAGGCAGGCAGTGGAGCTGGGAGAGGGGCACAAAGAGGGCCTCTTGGCAGAGAGATGGCAACCTTCGAACTGGGGAGGGGAGAAGGCAGCTAGAGGAGCCTGATTGTGGGTTTGGCCTTTGGCTTAGTGAGAAACAGAGGGGAGTAGGACCTCCCATTCCTCACTGGGCTCCTTCTAGTCCAGCTTAACCCCCCTGCCCTTAGGTTCACCCCCCCACAAACCTGTCCCTGCTCCCCATGTCCTCCACTTGCCTCTCTTCCAGTCACTTGGTCAAGGCCTCACCTCACAGGCCTGGTCTCTAAAGTTCTTACCAAACCACAAGGAAAGAAGGTGGGAAGAAAGGAAGGAGGGACGGAGGGAGGATCCTCTAGACACCAGACCCTTCAACACTTTGCCCTCAGGACAACTCCAGGACCTCAGTCTTGCCAGGCCCATTTTATAGAGAGGGCAAGTGAAGCTCAGAAAGGGCAGCACTTGAGGCCACGCAGCACAAAGCTTGGCCTGGCACCCCAAGCCACCCCTAGCCATCTACACTGCTATGGAATAGTGGAGGGGGGGACCAGAGGGTGGTGGTACTATGAGAATCCAGCCCCCAGACTCCCTCCACTGCAAGGCCAGAGCCCTCTGAGGCCATCAGCATTGGGGTAACCTTGGGGGCACAAGTCCTTTCAGGCAGAGGCCCCAGCCTTAACCTTCCCTCCTGAGGCACCACAGGACACGAAAGGGGTGGGGGTGGCCCATGCTCTTTGAGGTCTACCCTGCAACGTTTCCCCATTCGATGCTACAATTGTACTGCCCATTTTACATATGAAGACACCGAGGTGCAGAGGGATGCCGTGACCTGCTCAGGGCCACAGGGCAGAGCCGGCTCACAGTGCCATTTTTCCTGATTGATGCCTGAAGCTGCCACAGCCAGACCAAAGGACACCTCCTGGACCCTACCTCAAGATTTTCCATTTTGGAGAACAGTGGCAAGAAGAAGGCATGCTGGGGAATGGGGGTAGGGTGCTCCAGCTCATAGTTTCCAGGCTCCCTCTTATGCCTCTCCCTGCTGTAGTGTGGGGGCCAGTTCCTGCAATCTGCAAGGCCCTGAAAGCTGGATCAGGCCCCCACTTGCATCCTTACCTCACCCTCACCCTTCAAGTGGCCAGACCCACTTTAGGGAGGCCACTAATGGGCAATGGTGGTCACTGGCCGCCTGCTATCACCACAGTAACTACTGTCCCCTGGGCAGCTTCAGAGAGGTCAGCAGGCCCAGCACCCCCAGGCCGCAGGGCTAGGCCCCCAATCAGGGAAATGGGCACACAGTGTGGACCCAGAAGGCTCCCAGCTGGGAGGCAGTGGCTGGAGAGAGGGAGGAAGGGGGAGAGAGAAGAGAAGGAAACTTTCTGTTCCCCAGCAGCAGCCCAGAAGCACTCAGTCCATCCCACCTACTTACTCAAGGTTGTTTTATGACCCCATTTCCTGATTTGTAGCTGCAGGGAAAAAACTTAAAACCTGACCCATTCAAGGCCTAGGATCCGAGGACAAAGGGGGTTGGTTACAGGCTGGGGTAGAGGTGTGGGGTAGGGGGTGTGCCCAGGGAGGCAGGAAGAAGGTGAAAGCACTCCGGCCTCCCTTTCTCTTGTGGGTGATGAATAATGAATGTATGAGTGACTTGACTGAAATGATAAACCATTAGCCAGATTTACACTGTCCTGAGTGGTATACTTTGAATCCTAAGGGCCTGGCTGCGGTGGGGGAAGGGATGTGTTTCCAAGGAGCCTACAGGCCTTTGGGACAGGATGTAAGTCCTCCAGACAAGGGCTAGCAGAGGGGAGGGACCTATGGGGACCAGCTCTGCCGCTGCTGGTCTCGGCCAGCTGGGAGAGGCTTGCTTGGGGTAGAGGGGAACCATCACAGGGGCATAAAGAATCCCAGAGGACAAGACAGATTCCACCCCAAAGCATGGCCTCTCACAGACCACCTCATGTGTGTGTAGCCCCCTCCCCACCACACTTGGGTATACGCCCCTCATTTGTGAGCACTCACACTCGTGTCTATACACCCTGGCAGACCCGCACACACGCATGCACACACACATGCTCTTGTGAGCAACACCACAGGGGTGTCTAACGTGCCCCTTTGCAGGAAGGCTAGGGGCTGGAGGTCCCAAATATTAAAAGGCAAGCAGTGGGCGTAGGGCAGTT